TTAGGGACTGTGATTAAGACTAATTTGACAATAAAACATGAGTTTGAGGTCTTATCACATTCATTTTGCTGGGAGGGTAGTTTGTTCCATATGTTCATTAATTGATTAAGAGAAGAGGGTTTGGAGGCTACCATCATTCTATTATCCTTACTTTGGCATTGCTTTTTTTTTTTAAATAAAAACTTACTAGGTTAATGACTACATTAACAATATAGTCATAATGGCATATTGTGTGAAAATGACTCATTAGTCTCCATTGAAATGTAACTCGGACAGATTGCATTAGTCAATTTAAACAGGTAAAATGAACATTTTTAGGTTTGCCTGAATAAAACAAGCAGAAATTCCTTGGGCAATGGAAATATTTTCTCTTATCATATATGCCCTTTCAAATGAGTCTACATTTTCATTTAAAACCATGTCAACTTGCTACTTTCCCATTAACCTAGGATAAGTAAAAATTTGCTAGTAAAGCCACAAATTTGTTTCCCATGTTTTACTTCTATGTAATATTTCCAGCAAAAAAATGGGCTAAAGAAGCTTTTAAAAGTACTAATGACTTAATTGTCATTCTAACCTAGGGCTCTAGGACTTTTCCAACTAAAATCCAATCATAATTTCTATTTCTGTTCTCAGAATGCATCAGTAAGAGAGTATAGGACTGTCTCCAAAAAAGTAAAAAAAAAAAAAGTCAACATGTGTATATATACATATACACATACATGAAAGAAAGAAAAGCAAAGAATAAAAGAAAAAGAAAATGAATAATAAGAAAAATGAGTCTTAAAGCAACACAAGAAGCCATGTACCTGCTCAATCCAAAAAGCAAAGCTGTTAAGTAAGAACCTGATAATCGGTCTAGCTATCAATATTCATATAGCAGTTAAGAGTATGGGCTCTACATTATTTGCCCTTATGCTTTTTGGACTCCTGAGAGTCTGTAAGCAGGATTGTACATACAGCCTAAACACATTACGTGAACAAACAACATTAATTGGCTTTGGTATGCTGACACATGTAGGGCAGTCCATACTTACTTTCTGAAGAGGTAGTTCTTGTAGATCAAATTTAGACTTAGTCTGCAAGTTTAAAGTCATGCTTCTGCCTGCATGCATTGCTGAAATACCTCCATAGGGCAGCATGCCAAGGTTAACTGTGTTGTGTTTGTAAGCAGCATTCTGAGTAGAGGAAATAATCATGTGACAGGATGTGAACACATGCTCAACAAACTGATTATTACATGAACATGTTTAAGTTTATAACATTTAACTTTATGCAGGCAAACGGTAACTTTCTTTTTTAAACATGCACTTGATCAGACAGAAGCATACAGTAAACAGTGTTAGTTATGAACATAATGAGTACCATCCAAAACTACAGAAAAGACAAAAAGCAAAGATAACATTCTGTTTTACATCTGTTGCTATCTCATAGGCACAGAACCTATCTCTTATAATATCATGATTGTAGTGACTCTGGACAAATGTTTATCAGTGGTGATCTATTAATTCAAAAATTTCAAACAGTGAGGTCTTAAATTTTGTCAGCTGCAAATCTCACAGTCTCTTTCACATTGTGAGATTAGCATACACGAAAGACAAATACTAGCTTTTAATTCTGCCTTAAAACTAATGCCCTGTGAAGTTAAAGTGAAAATCAGTCACTTTTATTTCTGTCTTATAGGCATAATTATGGCAACTCAGAAAAAGAGGTGGTCAAAAAGTCAGTCAATCTGACCAGTGGATGATTGATTTATTAATTTAGTTAAACTACTCATTTTGCATGTGAATCCAAATATTCTCTTTTGTTAAAAATTACATTTTAAACTGATGAAATTTCATAATGAAACTAAAGGAACTATGCTTTGAATTATTAATGCTGTTTATCTGATATACCTAAACATTAATAGAATATTCTAGTGATATCTGCACTGTGGCTACCCTTCAGTAAGTGCATCTGAAGTTATTACAAGTGGTTCAGTTTTTTTCTACAGAACTTCATTTAAAAATTAAGTCATTTTGCATATCTTGTCATCAGATGGTTTTCATCAGTATAATCTCTAATTTCCACCTACCATGAAAATACAATAACTGACAGCATTTGGCCTTTTTTAATGAATTTTTAAAAATCTATAGAAGTTAACTTAGTACGCTTTTTAAAACTGAATATTATTGAACATTAACAGGAGACAGTTATTCTATTCTGAGGGCATTATTTGCAAAGAAATGATTTTTAGGATCAGAATTTCGTCAACTGAAAGACGATTACACTCCTGATTGTGTGCTGTCAACCAATCATATTTGTTATGGATTCCTGATTATTTCATTCAGAGAATTTTTTTCATTGTCACCGGGCCAAAGTTGAGAAGAACTTTGAACATTTCAAGCTAGCACTTGGAGGATCCTTTAAGGTTTAAAATGACTTCAGTCTAGTGCTCTCTCGGCAGCTATGGAAGAGTCGCAGTCTTAGACATATGGGTTCATGTTTTACTATCTCTCAGTCAAGTGGGGTTCTGTAGTGGAAGCATGACCTTGAGTCAAACCAAAGGAGAAAACGAGCACCTTTAATCTATGGCAGTACTCAGAGCTGCCTCTCCAAGGTCAACACCAAGCAAGGTCTTTAACCAACATCATGTAGAGCTGTTAAGCTTATCCAATGTCTAGGATTCTAGGCGGTTCTCTTTTATAAAGAATGGACAAAGATCTTGTAGTTTCCAGTGTAACTGTTTGATTCCCAGAGTTCAAATCATTCAAATAAATTTTACTGGGAAGGAAGCAAGCTGTGCAGTCTCACTTCGGGCAGAATGTTAAATACCACGATACAGAACTATTTTTACATAATAAGTCTGTGCTCCAATACCCTGAATTTATGTTGTATGTAAGTTTTAAGTAAGATACAACCTGAATAACTCAGCAACTTGATTGAGAGAGGGAAGAAGTTACTCAGAGAAAGCAGTAAGAGCTTTCAGGATCTGATGGCTTGAAGCAGTACTCTAATTTACTTTCTTTGAATTAAATGAGAAGCTATTGAACATACACTGAAATTGCTCTGAAAAATGAAAGACAAACTGAGGAAATTATAAACAGACAGGGGATATGTGAAGACTAATTAAAAAGGGAGGCATTGTCACAACAAGGGAAAATGCATACAAATTCACTTTTAGTTATCTGCATCTGGGATAGGCAGGGTCTCTAGAATTCTGCTGATCTAAATCCCCCTCCTCCAGTCCTATTTTCCTCCCTCTGAATTCTTGCTCCAACTAGGGGAGATGCCTACTTTTCAGCAGCTCTGATCAAGGGAAATGAAACATTTATCTGGGAAACTAGTAAATAAATGAGAGTACCAAATACTTAAAATTTTGTCTTTTTTTTTCATTATCTGTTTTCATTCACTCCTTTGTTGCCTCAATTTACTAGTCATTGTATATATGCTCCAAAAAGCTTCTGATAACCTTTCTCAGCTAATTCATCTTACCCTGTTATGTATGGTCGTGTCTACACAAGGCCAGAGTTCCCAAACTGTACTGTTTTATTTGACCCCAGATATTTTCGCCCTTCAAGTTATCTGTCTACATGGAGGGTAAAACTTGAAGTAAGGCATGGTGACAACCGACCAGGTGTCTCCCACTGACACCCAGTCATGAGGCTTTGAGGAGGCTCCCTTCAATGGGACTGAGCACACCTATTTGAAACAGACATTCTGATGAAATATTTTGCAAGGCAGAACCAGTTTCCACATTGAGAAACTAACACCCACACCCACATTTATTAGCTCACTCTTTTCCTATTAATAATTATTTTTCTTGTCATGTAGACACGACCTACAAACAATATAATTATTTTAAAAGAGTACACCTGAAAACATAAAATTCACCATTAAGAAAATATATAATAAATGCAATGACCTATGCTTTTAAGAGTTTTAACTAAAACTATTGAGTGAAACATTCTAATGGCATATTATTACCCAGATCCCCAATATACACGGAGCACTGAAACCTATAAAATCAGAACAAAAATCCCTATTTTCAGAAACTAAGTTTTAAGATTCTAAGGTCAATGCCAAGTACACAGAGCCCCCTACACCAAAGCTATAAAGCACACTCAGTGGTGATGGTCAATTGATCATAGTTCTAGAAAATGAAATACCAGATTTCTGTTAGAGAGATATAAACAGCAACAAAAATACAATTCAGGCCTTACAGAAATTTTTTTTACTCTCTTCAATTACTATGCGTTCTATGATTTATTGTGATTCAATTTTAACTGAATTGGGATTATTTTCCTCTTTTTTGCTGCAATATACACACACTAATTTGTATGTTTATAGTCTTCATAAAGACATCATCTATTTTTGTTGTCTGTAGTATGATTAGACTTTAAACATTTCTTTCTATATGAAAATCAACATTCTAAATGGCAGGATTTTCATTAAACAAAGTAATGTGTGGGAGGGCATTCAATCTCTGCTTATTTTATCTTTCTGTTTCTTGCTGGGAAGATTATTGCTCATTAGAAGTAACAACTTTAGGAGTCCCATAGCAGTAACTATATGCAGATTCTATAAACAAATTAGGTCTGACTTCAGTATATGTGAGTCTGTGCAGAAAGGAGCAGAATATTCACTTTTTATGAATTCAATAAAAATAATTTTCTCTAGGTCACTAGAGAACAGTTTCACGTCCTAGGAGAGGCATTTTGCCTTCATGGCTAGAAAGCAATTGAAGCACCATCCCATATAAAAGAGTCGAATTCTTTCTCACTAACCACTTTTAGGATAGTTTTGATAAATAATTGACCTACAAGTTATGAACTCTCGAAGAGCATTAAATAGTATCCACGAAAAACTCTTATGATCAATTTCCCCACATATAAAGATAAATAAAATGCTCATCATCTATTCATTCACGTAGTTCATGCTTCACTACATGTGCTAAGAAATGCCAATAAAGTAAAACTAAAGGCAGGAGGGATATTCTTACAGAGAAATGCCAAACATACCCTGTCTAACCTTCTAGCTTCTATATGTCTAAGCAGCTGTTGTCTCCAGTCTGCAGGCATTTTACCACAGCTCTCCTCTCCCTTGACAGGAGTGGGCCTCGTCTTTATATCACTGTTATCTGATGGCTTGTCACCATAGTTACCCAAGTTATAGTCAGATGGTATTTTTTCCAAAAGAGCTGCCATAGTAGGCCTAGCTGAAACTGGCCTGGTTTGGGAGGCACCGTAACTCTCTGTACTGTAGCTTCTCGCAGACAATGGCCTCCTTTGGGTAAGGTTTTTAACTGGAAAACTTCCCGCCTGAGCTTTCACTTCTTGATATGAAGGGTGTTCATCTTCATACCTGCCATTCCTTTTCAGGAACTGGGACTCAGTCACTGAAACGCTGCTTTGGCGATCCAGACCACCCCTATACGGAGGTCGGCCATACCTATCACTCGGAGTTAGCTCATGAGGTTCACTGACCCTTCTAAACATGGCCATTTCTGTAGAGCTCGCCAGGGAGTCAGCTCTTCTCAAGAAGCCTGCCCTGGCGCCTTGACTTGCAAACTGGGCGTTGACCACAGCATCTTCATTAACAGACGGCTGAGAAAATGAAAATATTTGCTCCACTGGTGGGTATCCTCGGTAAGCTCGAGGACTAACCAAATCCTTGGCGATGTTTTTCCCGGGTTGCTGCACGTACTCAGAATTGTGTTGAAAAGGGGGCGGTATCCTCTTTTCTGCTTTAACTTCCACTGCTCCTTGGGGATTGAAGCTTTGGTCAAACTGATAGACTTTTTTGGTCATGGACGCTTTCTGTTGTTGAGGCCCTTTACCGCTTCCGTAGGTGAGCATCTCATCATCCAGCATTGGGACTGACTGGCTTCGAGACATACTGGACATACCATGCTCTGATCCCAACATTTTGTCAGGTCGTTCATGACTTCCTAAGTGGTCACTCCCAGTAGCATAGTTTTCTAATGGTATGTTATAAACCTTGTATGTACCAATGTCAATCTCATCGATACTCTGTGACTTTTTGAATTTATTGGACTTGATATCTTTCATTAGTGGGGAAAGTCTCTCTGTGCTTTTGCTAATCGAAATAACACCTTTAGAAGAGTCTGGGCGGCAGTGGATTTGAGAAAAGACATTACTGAGACTCCTGTTGGGGTTAGAATCGTGATACTCCCATGGTACTCCTGGAGAAAAAGGACTAGGTATTTCAGTAGATTCTTTTATGTGTTCTTTCCTTTCAGGCAATGGGCTGGTGGTAGGGGTTGTCTCTAATTTGGAAGGGAAAGCAGTCCTGTCTTCAAAAGGACTAGGGGTTCTGGTCCAATTCTGCCAAGGATTGGAAGGAGGCACTTCTGTTTCTGGTGTGTGTCTGTGTGTAGACTGCTCAAGTTCCAGGGGAACACCAACAATCCTATCCTGCCTAATCAAAGGCCTGCGTCCATGAGAAGATGTGCTTCTAGCTTTCGAACTCAGGAGGGGATTATTGTTGGCATTCTCGCCTGTGGTCTCCTCGGCAACGAACCCCGTGTTATCATAATGGGAGCCATCCGTCCAGTTGTCTGTGAATGCGTCACTCATTGGCAGCCGGTCAGGACGCTGTGGTAGGTTCCCTGGGGGGACAGCCTCCCGCTGGCTGAGTAATGGCTTTGCATCAAGAGGCTGTGGGAAAGATTGTGCAATCCTGTGAACACAATGGGAAGAAGAAACATGAAAATGAGGAAGAGCTGTGTCTTTGCCAGAAAGAGAACAAGCAGGCAAGAATACCAGCATCTTTGTTCAACTGATCATTCAGCCACACTTCACTTATGATTAAGAATAGCATTATTATTTCATGTCCAAAAAAATTCACCCCTTTACCCTGATCTAACTTTTATTTCTTCTCAGTTACCACCTTCCAGTGCATATAGCTTACTTACCTATTACATTTATTGCACATTGCCTTGTGTCCTCTGTAGGATGTAAACTCATGAGGGCAGAGGTTTTTTTCTCTTCATGCGTAACATAGTGCTTGGCACATGGTAGGTACTAAGTACATATTTGTCAGATGGAGGAATGAATGAATAAATGAGTGAATGAAGAAATACAGAGATTTTCAGTAATGGTCCTGAAACCTGTCTGATAATTAGAACTACCTGATTCTTGGCCTCCATCTCTGGAATTTCTGATTCAGTACATTTCTAAACTATTGGTTGAGGGTACCTTTCTTATCAATTTTTGGTATACTGAATAAATTCAAATTGTCTTCAAATAATATATTTGAGGGGCAGGTATTGGAAGACATTAAATCCATTGTATAGTGAATGCATTCACATATCTTTTTCTAGAAGGTAAATTAAATTATGAGTTTTGGTCATTGGTATGTTTATTCCAGTGACCACAGTATCTCTAGATGATGCCCATTTTTCTAAGTTTATTTTAAGCCATTTGCATACTAATCATATCAAATTATATATCTTTTATTACAGCCTTTTAAGTGCTTTCACTAATTGAAAAAAAAAAGTGCATTTAGAAGGCAATTTCCAAAAGTACCTAAATCAGTCTCAGCTTGTATGACAAATAATAAATTTATAAACTGAAAGAGTTAAATTTTTATCATGGACATGAATGAGTAGAAATAGTCATTCATTAATTACCAAAGAACATATTGCAAATGGTATTAATATTATCAGTAAAATCTGCGTGGAAGTCACTGATTATCCATGTCATATGACAATTTTTATTTTCTATTTGTAGTGTGAAATATAGCAACAAGCTATAAAACAAAGGAATCAGACTGGGCAAATGCTACTTCTCTGAGTCACTTTATTGCCCTCTATGGCTTTTGATCTTCATATATCTGTAAAAATGAAAGTAGTATAGAGTAGAAGGCATTTTGGAAAGATTAAATACTTTTACTTACATTCTAACTTTCCCATGTGGTGATAAAATGATGATGATGATGGAGAGGCTGATGAAAAATTTATTTAGTATTCACTTTGTACTTGGCACTTAGTGCTTTCCATGCATTTTACTTTAGTTTATAACACCATTTTGGATGGTGAATGCCCAAATGTGTCACAATTATGTAATGATGCAAACACAACTTTTGATTAATTATTTTTGATTCTATCCTCTCAATCTGTTAATCTCTTACCATCTCTCCCATAAACAATGGTTTTGCTTCACAAAATGGATTTATCCACTCTTGGAAATTCCCAGCAGGACTACATTTGCTTACCTGCCCCTTAGGTCTTCTATGCCACTCATGTGCTGAACGCAATTCCCAAATTAGGAAGATTCCATTTTTTAAAAAGTTGCTGAAAATAAGCATTTGGGGACAGAAAAGAGGGAATTCTAAACACACCTGTTACCCCACAAAGAATTATGTACTGCATCTTTAGCTGTTGTCTGCAAGGACCCCACTTTAACCCGGGTGTTAGAGGATCCTGAGGAAGCCTGGGAAGGTGAGTAGTCTGAGTAAGTGCCTGAGGAAACACTGTTATTCAGACAGTGAGTTTTGTCAACTTCAGACTCATCAGTTGATTCTGAAATGTAAAGGGAAAAATATTATAATGCTACGAACATTGACAAGTATAAACAGAAAAGCAAGTATGAAAAATAGCATACCAATGAATGTTAGAAATACATATTTATAAAATATTTCTATAGATGATGGTGTATCATAATTTACAACTGGTGATTCGTCATGCACATGCATTTGTGGCATATTTTCCACATCAGGTTCACAATGTTACCTTTTTTGTCCTTCCCTAGCAGAACAAGTTTGGGTGGGTACAGAGGGGTCTCAGCTAATGAAGGGTGAAGTTCCCCAATCCTCATTTCATTAGCTGGATGAACAAAAGAATCCTGAGAGATATAATAATATAGGACAAGGAAAGTAAACATTTAAATACTGGTTAACCAAGAAGGCAATATCTTTATTTGGCTCAGATATAATGGGACTCTAGAATCTAGTTCACTGTGGCACGCTAGGAGAAGTGAATCATATGTATATCTGAGGTAAGCACTAAAATGTTTTTCTAATTTAAATGAGTCCATTTATCCCTCAAACATTTTTTGAAAGCTATTTATATGTCTTGCACTGTGCGAAGAACTGCAGAGTTTTCAAAGAAAGACAAAATGTCACCCATGCCCTGTGGGAATTTACAGTCTAGTTACAGAGTTAGATATAACTCATAAACAGGATTGAATTATGATAAGTAATAAATAAGGTGATAGAAGCATGTAAGAGTTCTAAGGGGTGAACTCTTTTAGAGTTCTAAGTGGAAAGTACACTGACAAACTAGATTTTTTTTTTTGGATTATTAACAAAGTTAATGCACAACTGGGCCTATTTTAACCACCCATCTCTCTCTCAATGCCTACTGTTTCCCCAGTGATTATCTGTTTCTTTAGTTCTGTCATGCCTTCTTCCTAAGATTTCTGGTTTTCTCATGATCAATCTAGCCTGCTAAGTCTTCACTCTAAATCCATTCACTGAGTGTAATGAACAACACTGGTATAATAATATAACTTTATGACAAATACTCATATTTAAAAAACCAATGGATTTTAAATTTCTGTAGCAAATTTGAAAAACTCAGCGGTGGCCACAGGACTGGAAAAGGTCAGTTTTCATTCCAATCCAAAAGAAAGGCAATGCCAAAGAATGTTCAAACTACCACACAATTGCATTCATCTCACACGCTAGCAAAGTAAAGCTCAAAATCCCCCAAGCCAGGATTCAACAGTAAATGAACCATGAGCTTCCAGATGTTCAAGCTAGATTTAGAAAAGGCAGAGGAACCAGAGGTCAAATTGCCAACATCCATTGGATCATTCAAAAAGCAAGAGAGTTCCAGAAAAACATCTACTGCTTTATTGACTACGCCAAAGCCTTTGACTGTGTGGATCACAACAAACTGTGGAAAATTCTTGAAGACAGGGGAATACCAGGCCACCTGACCTGCGTCCTGAGAAATATATGCAGGTCAAGAAGCAATAGTTAGAACTGGACATGGAACAACAAACTGGTTCCAAATTGGGAAAGGAGTATGTCAGGGCTGCATATTGTCACCCTACTTATTCAACTTTTACGCAGGGTACAGCATGAGAAATGCTGGGCTGGATGAAGCACAAGCTGGAATCAAGATTGCTGGGAGAAATATCAATAACCTCAGACATGCAGATGACACCCCCCTTATGGCAGAAAGTGAAGAAGAACTAAAGAGCCTCTTGATGAAAGTGAAAGAGGAGAGTGAAAAAGTTGGCTTAAAACTCAACATTCAGAAAACTAAGATCATGGTGTCCAGTCCCATCAGTTCATGGCAAATAGATGGGGAAAAAATGGGAATAGTGAGAGATTTTATTTTGGGGGGCTCCAAAATCACAGCAGATGGTGACTGCAGCCATGAAATTAAAAGACGCTTACTCCTTGGAAGAAAAGCTTATGACCAACCTAGACAGCGTATTAAAAAGCAGAGACATTACTTTGCCAACAAAGGTCCATCTAGTCAAGGCTATGGTTTTTCCAGTAGTCATGCATGGATGTGAGAGTTGGACCATAAAGAAAGCTGAGCACCAAAGAAAAGATGCTTTTGAACTGTGGTGTTGGAGAAGACTCTTGAGAATCCCTTGGACTGAAAGGAGATCCAACCAGTCCATCCTAATGGAAATCAGTCCTGAAGATTCATTGGAAAGACTGATGTTGAAGCTGAAACTTGAATACTTTGGCCACTTGATGTGAAGAGCTGATTCATTGGAAAAGACCCTGATGCTGGCAGTGATTGAAGGCAGGAGGAGAAGGGGACGAGAGAGGATGAGATGGCTGGATGGCATCACTGATTCGATGGACAGGAGGTTGAATAAACTCTGGTAGTTGGTGATGGACCAGGAAGCCTGTACATGGGGTCGTAAAGAGAAACGACTGAACAATGGAACTGAACTGAATTCAATTTGTTATTCCCAATTAACCAGGTAGCAGGAGAACATTAAGAAATGCAAAAATACTAAATTTTCACTTTTCTAGGTGTAAAAATGGCTTGTTTATTCTCACGAGTAAGTAGTGATATAAATTTATGCACAATTGTTCTCTTTATGTCTTCTACCCTAGGTAGCTCTCAATTTCAAAATTCGATTGCACATTTCTTTTGATTAATAGCCTTTGTGAATTGGGTATTTGTTGCTTGCTGTGATAAAAAAATCAAGTGCCACCCCAAAATCAATGTGAAACAGAATTTAGAATTGTGGTATCCAATATAATTCCAAGATTTGAGATAGTAGGTGGTGTCTAAAGGGTGCAGACATTTCATTAGTAACTAGTTTTGGTTATTTAAGAGTGAAATAAAACTATGATTTTTTATTTCAGTTTATGTGTGTTGTTTTTCAGTCACTAAGTCATGTCTGACTCTTTGCAACATGCCAGGCTTGCCTGTCCTTCACTATCTCTCAGAGTTTGCTCAAACTCATGTCCATTGAGTTGGTTTTGTGTACTGTTTCCCAAATAGCCACTAAATGGGGCATAAATATCTACTAAGGTATTCAGACCTAACAATAATAAATAGAACTGTTAGGTATTTCTTGGCTATGACAGTTTACTAATCACTGATACTTTTGAGCCTTTGAAATTTTAAGTCTCTTAGGCTTTGATTTTTATATATAAATAAAATCTGGCCCCTTAAAAACTGTTTCTAAGTCACCCAGTTTATGGTATTCTGTTTAGCAGTCTCAACAGACTAAGATTCTAGGGGAAAAACAAATGCAATCTTCACAAGGCATGTATAAAAGGAAATCAGGGCAGAGGAGAACCTTCACGTCTCTCTGACCTCTTTGTTCTTATGGCTTTCTTGGTCATAGGCTCAGTCTAGATTTAGGTTAAAACTACTGGCATAGGGTTGCAAATAGAAAATGATCAATAATTATATTGATATATCTCTCCTTCTTTCTCTGTTGCTTTTACCTTGCTTTTTCTTTCTGTTTTCTGATTCTGCCTACCTCTATTTGCTTTTTTCGTGGTTTTCCATATTTAACAACATGGATAAATATATCATGTAATGTGTGATATCCTCTTCCACATTCTTGGCAGTGATCTAAATAATGATGATTCAAAAATTGCATACATAGGCAAAACATAAAATAAAAATGCATAATGTACACTGACCAGCCAGACACTTGGTTATTTGTACTTATTATATCTGAAAGTAGAATAGAAAGAGGGCATGGGTGCTTAGTTGCTCAGTCGTGTCTGGCCTATAACCCAATCAGGCTCCTCTGTCCATAGAATTCTCCAAACAAGAATACTGGAGTATGGCCCCTTAATTTGGGTGCGGTAATTTGAAAAGGCAGGATGTTACAGAAAGCAACATCTTCTCATTCTAGGATGTCTAAAAATTGAGGAAAGATCTAGAATCTTGATTTCAGGAAAAATGTTGATATTATCAGTGAAATTCAAGAGGAAAAGTCTTGTAGAATAAGAAAACTAAGAAAGAGCGGGGCAAATCACAGAAATAAATATGAAGTTGAAAGCTGAGCTTCAGTCTTATTTGGCTTGCCTACTATAGCTAATTAGGAAGTACAGATAGCCAATACCAAGTCACTGTAGTGTTTTTTAAGGAGGGCAGGATTAGACTTGTGCTTCGTAAAGATCATAAGCAAGGCAATGAGGGAGCTTGGGACAAAGTAAGCCAAGAAATTGACAGTTTTTACAGAAATGCAGGACAGCGTTCAAGACCTGAAGAGTGTTAGGAGACACACTCATGAAAACATATAGGTGTTGTTGATTGTTTGGAAGGGGCATAGAGAAGGGAGAAAGAAGGAAAAAGAAATCAAAATACCTCCCAATTGTCTAGCTTGAGTGAACTGGTAGATAATGGTACCAGCTGAGATTAAGACCAATTATACAGAAGGAGAAGTAAGTCTGAAGTGAAAACATAAATTTTTTTTTTTTGGATTTGTTAAGTTTGAAGTCCTTGTGGGACAATTTTAAGATTTTTTTCTCTATTATCAGGTTATTATTAAACTCATGATCAAAGCTACTTTTTCCTTGCCTCACCTCTATGTATTTTGCTGTAGTTATTCAGCTTACGGATTATCATTACTTCACAGTTATGTGATAACAGGAGAGCTAAATATAAAGTGTATGTGTACTTAATGTGTACCCACTAACTGTTGATTTTCTTCCTTGAGATAAAAGTCTGTTGCTTTGTTATAAAATATCTGTAATATTTTAGAAGTGAAAAAGTACATTAATATGGCTTTTATAGGCAAAACAAAGAAGTGGTGAAAATGAATATTTACTTAAGTTTTCTCTCCTAGATATCCAGCTATATATATGCCTCTTTTCTGGGGCAGGTTTGTATCAATACTTTAACTGGCAGATGTGCACACCATGCTTATTTTTGCTCTTTTTTTTTCTCTTTGCCTAGAATGCCTTCCTCTGTTTTTGCCTTTAAAAGAGTCACCCAATCTTGAACATGGAATTCAACTTTAAACACTTCATGTAACTTTTAAAGTGACTGGCAATGATGGTGTATGTCTCCAGTTTCTTAGAGTACTATACTCTCCATCACAGAGCCAATCATGTTATCACACCTTATAAAATATGTTCTCTAGTTGCGTCATCTGTCTTAAATTTACCTGATTAGTCTCTACATTATTTGGGGACTATTAATACATTTTATATTTCTTTTCTTTCTCACAGTGTTTAGCACAGTGCTAAATATACAGTTGGTGTTCAATCAGTGCAACAAACTGATGCTTTGAAACGCAGATTTGTAAAAGAGTTTTGTCAACCTAGATATTTAAGCAGCAGGTATAGGAATTTCTAGATATACTCATATCAGTTATGTTTCTAATGAAGATAAAAAGATGATAATAAAATTAATTGAAGAGTAGATGAGATAGTACAGAGGTGGCATAAATGTAGTTGAATTCTTTTCAGACCACACAAACTGATACGGATGAACATCTAATTCATTCTAAAATATAGGAATTAAGCTTCATATTAGATTCCATAAAGCTAAATTTCAAAGTTATTGCCCCCTTTTTTGCTGCCTATAGTAGTGTTTTCTATAAAGGGTGAAACCCAAACACAAAAATATTTTTAAAAATTGGCCCTAAATCTGATCAAGAATTTTACTAAGATCTGCAGAATAATAATAAAAAGTTCATTCATACTTTTCTAATGATTCATACAATAAAAGTCAAGGATAGTCAAAGGAATATTGTGAAAATGACTTAACTTACTGACCAGGACTAGCCAGGTGAGCAAACTATTCCTTCTGTGTACTAGAACTGTCGAAGCTTTATTAATGGTTTAAGGCCATGAAGGTGTCATTTATTAAATGCAACCCTCAGAGTTAAAAAGAGTAGACAGATTTATTTATATATTAGGAAAAAATGCACTTAATGAAGATCTGCTCAGTTAAAAAAAATGTCATTTAGTAATTTCAAAAAATCCAAACCACACTGGCAATTACCAATAACCTTGAAATACCTCCACTGTAATCTCCTTTGGGGCTACGGGCCACTTGTGTTCATATTTTTCTTTCACAGTTTGCTCCGTGTTAGCAGTTGGATTTGAATTCTCAACACGCACTCCATGGCTTGGTTTACCCACCAGATTTTGAACAGATTTTACCATATTCTTTAAATCCTCTGGATAAGGAGTTGGATATCGTTTTAGGTTTATTTCAACCTAGAAGTTTATAAAAAGAAATTTAACATAAAAATACCTTCAGCAAGCATGTTCACAAAACTACTCCATTTTATGTGCAGTAGTATAACCAAATGCAATATAGTGAGTGTTGAGTTGGCTGAAAAAACTGTGTTGTAGAGTAGAACACAGTCTTTACACATCCTGCCTCCTAGGACTTCTCCCCACCCCTGGTCACCCTTCTAGATTAAAAACAATTTTTGGATTTTATTCTATGTTTAGACCTACTCTATAAATGGTTGAAATAGCAGTAGGTCAAACACTTGAAAAATTTCTGAATCTCTGAAAAATTTAATCAAGTTACTATCAGCTGTATTTATACTTTAGAGGCTATTCTCTGCACTATCTTAATTATTTATAAATAACTATTTTGACATTAGAAATATCTTTGAAATATCAATGCAGGTCATGCAATGAGACTCTAAAAGATTTACAAGTAGAGTTATCATTTATTGAAAAAAATGGGGAGTTGACAGTATCTATTATTAATATCATCAAATATACACCAGCTCTATGTTAATCAGCATGTTACATCAAAAGATAGGGTAGTTAATTCTTGTTAATAACTTAAAGAAACACCTTTAGAGAGATTTTTAAGTTAGTTTTTACCCTAATAAAGTAACATGCATTATAGGTTACATCTTACAATAAAGAGGAAAAAAAATTGAGAACTTTGTCTAAGATATTCTAAGTAAATATGTAAATTTTGACTGCTTTTTATTGAGAGATTTATTTCCATTCTTGAATTCATTTTTGGCATATGAATCTAACTTTAGGGAATATATGTATATTAATTATTATCCTTCACATTTAATTCAGAGAGAGAAAAAATGAGACATTCCATATAGAATATTCTACCATCAGAGTGCTTAAAATGTATTTAAAATGGCATAGATATAAATTATCCAGGCTGATTAAAATGGAGTAGGAGGAAAAATAGGGGCATATTTACTTGGCTTGGTTTATTCTAATAGCCAAGTCTTTTTGCATCTGAGTAGAATCAACTTTACAAAATGGAATGATTTATGTGACTGTGGTGAGTATGTGTTGTGGAAAATGTGTGTGAGGGAGGTTTAGAAGTGGGCAAGAACCAACTTTACAAAATGGAATGATTTATGTGACTGTGGTGAGTATGTGTTATTAAAAATATGTGTGAGGGTGGTTTAGAAGTGACCAGAGGTGGAAGAGAAGCTGAAAGAGGAAGAAGAGGGAATGAGAGATTAAAAGAGAAAAAGGGTGGGGCACACACAACCCCATATCTATGTAACACATGGAATGTAAGAAACTATGATAGTGGTATAGATCTGAGGGTTATAAATATGAATTCAAACACTTTTGCTCATCTGCAGTTTAGCAAATCCACCAACTTTGTTATTCTAGTATATTTTCCTGTGGCTCACTGTCCATATCAAATACTGGGATTAGACTTCATTAAATGATTTTTAACATTTGCTTCAGTACTAAAATTAAATTATATTTCCAATTAATTTTTGGAAAGCTTATGAAAAACCAGATAATTTTGTTAGTGTAAATATCATTGAAATGTGATTTAATCCTTAATATGCTGAAACAAGGATGAAGTCAATAATATATAGAAATAAATCTACAAAAATATAACCCATGAAAAAAGTTAGACTTTACCAAAAAAAGTAGATGTTGTTAGAGTGTAATATAAGTATATCTCAGGGTACTTTATAATGCATTCTTAAATAAACATAAAAAGAATGATAGCCATGCTAGACAAAGTCCATTGGGATGCATGCATTCTTGGATCTGCTGTTTAAATTGGTATTAGAAATATTAATCACAAATTCAATCTGAGTTTTAAATTATATTATTGAACTTGTTTAAAAGTTCAGAGGACTAAAAGTCAAAAAACTACATTTAGAAAATGTAAATTGTAAAATGGTATGCCTAGTATACCAATTGAGAACACCTTTTAATTTTTAATAAGTGGTGGTATATGAATGAAAATTAATTTTCAAATAGGGCATTAAATTAAAATTCTACACATCTTAAAATATCTTCAATGTAAAATTACATTTCTAAATTGAATCAAAGGCAAAAAATGGGATGGGACATGTTCTTTCTTAATTGAATTAAATACTTCATTGAATAATGTAATCTAATTTTTGAAGATGCTGTGTCTCTGCAGACACCATTAGATGACTGTTTTCTTATGGCCATGGTGCTGAAACTTTCTGGTTATTTTATAAGCAAGTTAATGTTATATTTTGGTCACATCACTGAATATATTTGGGTACTTTATCTCTGTAAAAATATTTAAATATGGAAATAGAGTTGATTTGTCATGAAGCTAAAGAAGCTTAAGTTTTAGGATATATCACCTTCATGGGCTCTTTCAAAGCCTTATAAGGGGCCCTACTTATGTATTTACATGGTTATTTTATATTCTTTTCCTTAAAGAGGCTCCTCTCCAAATTGTGGAAAATCATGAAATCTGAAATTGTTCCACCTATACAATAAGTTCCTTGCTTCCCATTTGTTAGTCTACCAGCAGAATTGACTGGAAGACCTAAATTTTACCCCCAACTAGCTGTAAGCCACAAATCTGACCAGTTTCTATTTGTGTAAAATAAATAGATGGAATAATAATATTTAGGGTTAATTCAGAACTCAAATAAGATAAATGTGAAAGTTCTTTGAAAATATACAGTTTCTATGCAGAGATTAGATACTGTTTCTAACATCAGATTCTACTTAGGTGTTTTTAAAATCTGGAGTCTTTGAGCAATTTAGATCTATTATATATATGTCTAACCGTAATATCTACAACCGGATCTTTTCCAGGTTGTATGCACTAATATCATTTATTCAAATCTGCCATCTGCCAGGCACTATGCAAAGTGTTTTATAAGGATAAATAATTTATTATTAGTTATTATTTTTATATAAATAATAAAAAACTTATCATTTACCAAATAGATTTAAATATGAATAATAGTCATAATTAATAACATTAATTAAAATCTATAATAGATTACATTTCATAACCCACTGTAGTATCTGCTCCCATTTTACAGAAGGAAAACAGGGGTTCAGATGGTGTAAGTTGAAAGTCATACAGCTTTAGGTATCAATGCCCAGATTCAAGCTCAGGTTTTTGACTCCAAAGCTTATGCTTCACAAGTGTTACCTGGTTCAGAGCTACTTGCTGGTATAGGTGCAGCACATATTGTACAATCTTGTGGAAGAAATAGTGTAAATCTAAAATGTGAATTTTATTGAATTAAATAAGATAATGTCAATGTTTAAAACATGAAGTTAATATATTAAAAATGAAAACAGTATTTTATAATTCTGTTATGTTGGTAACCTCTCTAAAAGCATATCTTATACCCTTTAACAGATAGTTTTGCCTCTCTATTTTCCAACTCACGTGTGATGTGCTTCTGAAATGAATAAACATGATCATAAATACAATTATATTTATAGTTCAGTAAAGCTCAAATACAAAAGCAGTTTCTTTATATTTCTAAATATATAAGCTATAAATATCCCCTTATTCTAATATGGGGCATATATAATAGATGGTAAAAATTTGTCAGTTATGTTCTTAGTAAAATATTGTGTTTATCACTCACCATAAAGTATTTGCTCATTTTACATATACATTTTATTAAAATGCAAGATTTTTACTGAAATGTTATTTTATCTTAATTTTGAAAAATAGAAGTGTTTCACAACATTATATATATCTTAGACCTTAAAAAAAGTGCAGTAAATGCAAATAGTAGCTGCAAGATGTTGGAGACTCCCAAAGATTTGGCAATGAAGAATTAATGTTAACAGCTAAGGGATTTAGAAATGATATCGCAAATTCACATAGAAGTATGCTTTTCTTATATAATGATTAAAATATAATTTGATTTGATTGTAAATTCCAGTAAGAGAAATAGTAGTTAATACTTTGGTTGTTAGTTGTTAAATATCTTATTCTAGGAACTAATTGGAATATTTTATAGAAAGGAAACCTATAGCAGTTTCAGTTAGGATTCTCAGCTTGCCTTATATTGTAGAAAGAATATAAGCCACAGAAAAGAATCTAGTCCACTATATGTGGATGATAAAGTTTATTAAAAAGTGCTCTTCTACATCCCATTAAGATTTTCTTTTCATTAAACACCCCACCAACTGAGACAAGTAAGTCCTTTTGCCAGAGTTCCCAGGCCAATCTTCTCTTACAGGAATTCTCATTATCTGTGCCTTCAAATTAAAGGGAAATTGATGCTTTTCAATAGATGTCCATCTTTGTGCTCAAAATTCACTCTCAGCAAATTTCAAATGCAATCTCATGCTGTTTTAAGAATCTAGCTTTAGTTATTCAGTCTCTCCTAGAACTGATATTACAGAAAAATGTGTATATGTCTGGGGACAATTTAGATTGCATCAGTAGTGTCATCAACATTCTGCCCAACTATTGGTATTCCCACACTTTAAGAGAAAAACCTTAAAAATAAAAACATAAAAACGAAGTACCCAACTCAAAAACCATGCCAGCTATCCCACCAGTAGGCATCTCATATTGATGTTCCCTCCCCTCCAACTCAGTTCTTCCCTCCCCATTGCCAATGTCAATGCACAAAGGTTAAATTGGGATCAAACACTGGCAATTGAAAGGTTTCTAGATGATCAACATTTCTTACCCCACATCATGCAGAACATACCCCATAAACCACTGTTCCAAGGTTGCTTCTACATAGGGGATTCTCCTACCCCAAACACCTAGGCCTACCTGTCTGCCACTTAGAGAGGGAAGAGTGGTAGATTGTGCTGCTACTGGCAATGGAGAACACATGCTCCTTTCCTGCTGGAGGCCACTTATACAACCCCATGCCAGCTGTGGGTCATTCTGGGGGACAGGCATTTCTTGGATCTGCTGATCACACCTGGCCCATGGTGTGCAGCAATCGCCAGACAGTCTGGCAGGTTGGAGAGTAATCCCACGCTGGCCCCTTTCCCAGGGGGCTTGGCAGGAGTGATCCTGTGGGAGAAGGAATCTCCATTTTCTGGGAGAAAGAGGAGCACTGTAGCAAAACTTTCACTTTATCATTTTTTTATTCTTGATTTTTTTTTTTTTCATTTTGGGTAATGCATTTAAAACAACCATCAGGAAATTCATTTTAACTCTGTGTGATAAAACAGTACCAGTGTCACACAAAACCAAAGGGTCTCAATTTCTTCACACAATGCAGCATTCATACTACATTAAACACACGGTAAGGAGGGCATTACACTCTAGTCCTTTCGGAAGTTAATGCCACAGGTCAGCAGTTCCTTTTAAAATTTTATGTAAATTAAAGGTAAAATGAAAATGGTGCTAAATTTAGTGTATATGTAATGAGCCAGAAAAGTATAATTTCATGTAAGATTTCAGCATATTCCATTCATCATGCTTCCATAATGATTTATTTAGACGTTTGCTTGTATTCTAATTTGCCCAATAACCAATGGCATTGGAAATACTCAAATTAGTCAAAACCAAGTAGTCTGAGATTTTGGAAACATGTATTATTTCCCCAATATATAAAATAAATAAAATATAAATAAACATAGAGAAAATGTACTCTAAAGTATAATGAGCCTACTCTCATTATAATCAAACCTGATCACATAACACACAAACAGGGCTTCTAAATGTCTGTTTGCATTTACTATATTTTATGTTTTCATTGACACATATATCAGAGTATATTAAGTGTACTCTTTTCTTCTTAGAGCCTTTGAATTAGCTTTTTTTTTCCTTTTTTTAAGGAAGAATTATGTAGTTTTTGACATTCAATGAAGTAAAAGAATGAATCAGAGGTCCAGGATAGAATGCATCATCCATTGGTTCCGGATTTAACATATAAAATCCTTACAAGAAGAACTAAAATGTTCTAAAGGTCTTTTTTCTTGTTTTAGTTAAAAATGTCTCTTTGGTTATTAGACAGTACTAATCAACCATTCAGAAACATTTTTTAAAGCCCAAATCTTTAACATAATTGTTATTTTGATTTGGGAATCTATTTTGAGTTCTTCACAATGATACAGGTAGGCTTTGTCAATTACAGTAAGGTTCTATGGTGTGCTGGTTCAAGACAAAAGTTTAGAAAATGTGGGAAGGAGGAGACAGAGAATATGTCTCACAATCCAGATCTATTAATAGGATGCATATACAATTAGTTAGGTAATTAGTCACCAAGGATGAGAGCTGTTAGTACCCATGATGGAAAAAGTGCAAAAATAATATAAAAATGATGAGAGATTCAAGATGGTGCCATGATGATAAGATGAAGACCTGATGTTAATATAATCCATATAAATTCTGACATTTTCAAATTTATATAATGGAAAAATATAGATTTAAAAATTCTGACCTTGTTACTTAGATTAGTGCCAATAAAGGATTTTTAAAAATATGTTTTATGGTGAGAATTTTTAAGCAATTTTCCTTAAGGGATACCACCTGCTATTAGGCACTCACCTAAGTTTAAATTAAAAACTTGTTCTCACACTTAAGAAAATTCATAACGTCTTCTCAAACATTCCAGAGACGTAGAATCCTTCCAAAATTTTAAGGCAGTGTAATATATCAATCCACTGGCTCTTTCATATATATGGAGTTTGACTTCATACAGTCTGAATGATGCCCTGCAATGCTCAGTGGTTACAAAAAAGCATTTCAGTGTTTCAAAGATGTAGTAGTAAGGTATTAGGTGAAGCCCATTACCCAGACTTTGTTAGGTTTTTTTTTTGTTTTTTTTTTGCTTTCTCTCAGCTTGAATCTCTCATGTTGCTATTCTGTAAGATGGGGTGGTTTATGAAATTTGCTCAGTCAGGATGTTGCCTCATTCTGAAGCACAGCAGTGCTTCCAAAATCACATCCTGCTATAAGGAAAAGTACCGCCATGAGACTTGAAGATGTATCTGACCTTCTAGCAGAGGTCAGTCAGTGAGTCCCAAAGTCTATCTGAATAATAACAATGAATGAACAAAAATAATGAGAAGAAAGGGGAAACAAAAATTAAAAGGTTCACCTTAACTTTCCCAGCATTTTCGTCATCTTCCTTTTTTTCTTCAAATTCAAAGGCAACAGTCATGCGTTGTTGTCTCTGTTCTTCCCATAGTGTAGGGTTAAAGCTGTCACTGTCTGACTGGAAATCTACAGTTAGATTCCAAAGTGTTACTTTTTTTTTTTTACATAAATTGTAATTTAATAGAATTTAGTACACCATGCAAAAAAATGGTGGTAGGTACTAAAAACAAATATAAAATTAAAAAAAGAAAAGAAAAAAATAAAGGGATAGAAAGAAAGAAGCAAGTAAAGAAAGAAGGAAAGGAAAAAAAGGGAAAATTTCTCTTGATATTTGTTAAATAGTCTTTTAACATCTTAACTCAAATTCAGCTTTGCAAAGTGTACATTAATTATATATTGGGGTTGAGAAGTTTTCCAGTGTAGAGAATGGGCATAGCATAATAATGATAAAAGAGAGAGCTAGATTAAGTATTTTAAACTTTTATCTCTTAATTTGCAAAACAGCATAATGGTAGTACTAATATAATCCTCAATTTAATAATGAGAAAGCTATTGCTGAATTTCGAGAGACTTGTTCAAAGTCATGCAGCTTCTTCATGGCCAATGCAGGATTCTATTTCATGTCCTGTGACTACACAGTCCATAAATGTAATCAGTAATCTGTATTACGGTATTATAAAAGATACTATGTAACACTGCTTTGCAATAAATGGTCAAAGATTTCAAACTTTTTTGTTGTAGTTTTGTGTGTCTGGTTGGGGGGCAATTTAGTGGTGCTAGGTTTTATCATGCTAGGTACATGGTAAAAAATGTGGAAAATGAAGTCTTTAAGACTTGGGTCTCAATTTGTTTAAATATGTCTCAAATTAACAGGGAAAAGAAATGGCTTATCCATCTTTAATTTACATGCTGGTTAATGGTAATATCTTCTTTGCAACATTATTGTGAAGATCACATTAAAAGGCAATAAAAGCACTTTTGTTCAGTTGCTAAGTCATATCCTACTCTTTGTGACCCCATGCACTATAGCACATTAGGCTTCTCTGTCCTCCATTGTCTCCCAGAGTTTGCTCAAATTCACTTGCTCAATAAAAGCTCTTAGTTTAGGCTAAATTCTTTCCCAAAGCATGAACTTTATTATATATAAAACTTTATTGCAAGGAGTTCTGAAAGTTGGTTTTCTGCATGAAAAGTGAAAAAAGTGACTTGCTTAAAGTTCAAGAAAACTTTTCTGTTACAAGCTCCGCTCTTCTCAAAGGGCAACAAAACAAAACAAATTAGGCAAATTTCTTAACATCCCATCTTACTTAACTAGGTCTACCTCACTCCCTGGAACAAATTAGGGATTTAATCTTTGAGGCTAGATCTCAGAAAGGGCTTCCCTGGTGGCTCAGAGGGTAAAGCATCTGCCCACAATGCAGGAGACCTGGGTTCAATCCCTGGGTTGAGAAATAACTGGCAAATATGAGATACTTTTAATTTTCTCCTATATCTTTTCAAAATGAAATATTCTGTTAATCTAGGGATATTAAAAAAGAAATGTAAGTAAAATTGCATGAATAAAACATAATCTTTACTTAAGATTCTTCTTATAACTATGTAAACATAGTGGATTTTTCTTTCATAAATTCTAAAAGATCAATTTTACTGAAGCCTGAAAAATACCTATGAAACAAGCTTTCCTTTCCTACTTCCGTAGATCAAAATTTGAAGAAAAATATCCACAAATGATTCATTTCCTTTTTAAATAAAAAACAAAAACAAAAACAAAAACCCAAATATTTATTGTAATTATTCTACAAATAACTCCATAAGCAAATAATTTCTTTTAAAAATTGATCTTTTAAATGGGTTGGGTGGATTTAACCCTTCGGTGGATTAAAGTGAGTTTGCTCTTTCAATGTTAGGTCCATGAATCAAGGCAAATTAGAAGTGGTCAAATAGGAGATGGCAAGAGTGAACATTGACATTTTAGGAATCAGGGAACTAAAATGGACTGGAATGGGTAAATTTAACTCAGATGACCATTATATCTACTATTGTGGGAAAGAATCCCTTAGAAGAAATGGAGTAGCCATCATAGTCAACTAAAGGGTCCAAAATGAGATACTTGGATGCAATTTCAAAAACAACAGAATGATCTCTTCGTTTCCAAGGCAAACCATTCAATATCACAGTAATCCAAATCTATGTCCCCACCAGTAATGCTGAAGAAATGAAGTTGAATGGTTCTATGAAGACCTACAAGACCTTCCAGAACTAACACCCAAAAAAGATGTCCTTTTAATCATAGGGGATTGGAATGCAAAAGTAGGAAGTCAAGAGATACCCACAGTAACAGGCAAGTTTGGCCTTGGAGTAAAAAATGAAGCAGGGCAAATGCTAACAGAGTTTTGCCAAGAGAATGCACTGGTCATAGCAAAAACCCTTTTGCAACAACACAAGAAATGACTCTACACATGGACATCACCAGATGGTCAATACCGAAATCAGATTGATTTTAATCTTTGCAGCCAATGATGGAGAAGCTCTATAGTCAGCAAAAACAAGACCAGCAGCTGACTGTGGCTCAGATCATGAGCTCCTTATTGCAAAATTCAGACATGAGTTGAAGAAAGTAGGGCAAACCACTAGACCATTCAGGTATGACCTAAGTCAAATTCCTTATTATTATACAGTAGAAGTGACAAGTAGATTCAAGACAGAAACTGTCTACCAGGCACTCAACATTTCAAACAAAGATGGGCTCATTAAAGGACAGAAGTGGTATGGACCTAACAGAAGCAGAAGATATTAAGAAGAGGTGGCAAGAATACACAGAAGAACTATACAAAAAAGATCTTCACAACCCAGATAATCATGATGGTATGATCACTCACCTAAAGCCAGACATCTTGGAATGCAAAGTCAAGTGGGCCTTAGGAAGCATTACTATGAACAAAGCTAGTGGAGGTGACGGAATTTCAGTTGAGCTATTTCAAACCCTAAAAGATGATGCTGTGAAAATGCCGGCAAATTTGGAAAACTCAGCAGTGGCCATGGGACTGGAAAAGTTCAGTTTTCATTCCAATCCCAAAGAAAGGCAATGCCAAAGAAGGCTCAGACTACCACACAATTGCACTCAACTTACATGCTAGCAAAGTAATGCTCAAAATTTTCCAAGCCAGGCTTCAATAGTATGTGAACTATGAACTTCCAGATGTTTAAGCTGGTTTTAGAAAAGGCAGAGGAACCAGAAATCAAATTGCCAAAATCCACTGGATTATCGAAAAAGCAAGAGAGTTCCAGAAGAACATCTATTTCTGCTTTATTGACTATGCCTAGAGCCTTTGACTGTGTGGATCACAACAAACTGTGGAAAATTCTGAAAGAGATGGGAATACCAGACCACCTGACCTGCCTCTTGAGAAATCTGTATGCAGGTCAGGAAGTGACAGTTAGAACTGGACATTGAACAATAGACTGGTTCCAAATAGGGAAAGAAGTACATCAAGACTGTATAGTGTCACCCTGCTTATTTAACTTATATGCAGAGTGTATCATGAGAAACGCTAGGCTGGAAGAAGCACAAGCTGGAATCAAGACTGCCAGGAGAAATATTGCCAGCAGAAACTTCAGATATACAGATGACACCACACTTATGACAGAAAGCAAAGAACTAAAGAGCTTCTTGATGAAAGTGAAAGAGAAGAGTGAAAAAGTTGGCTTAAAGCTTAACATTCAGAAAATTAAATCATGGCATCTGGTCCCATCACTTCATGGCAAATAGACGGGAAACAGTGGAAGCAGTGAAAGACTTTATTTTTCTGGGCTCCAAAATCACAGCAGATGGTGACTGCAGCCATGAAATTAAAAGATGCTTACTTCTTTTAGAAGAAGAAAAGTTATGACCAACCTAGACAGCATATTAAAAAGCAGAGACATTACTTTGCCAACAAAGGTCCAACTAGTCAAAGTTATGGTTTTTCCAGTAGCCATGTGTGGATGTGAGAGCTGGACTATAAAGGAAGTTGAGCACCAAAGAAGAGATGCTTTTGAACTGTGGTATTGGAGAAGACTCTTGAGAGTCCCTTGGACTGCAAGGAGATCCAACCAGTCCATCCTAACGGAAATCAGGCCTGAATATTCATTGGAAGGACTGATGCTGAAGCTGAAATTCCAATACTTTGGCCACCTGATGTGAAGAACTGACTCACTGGAAAAGACCCTGAGGCTGGGAAAGATTGAAGGCGGAAGGAGAAGGGGTCAACAGGGTATGAGATGGCTGGATGGCATCTCCAACTCAATGGACACGAGTTTGAGTAAACTCCGGGAGTTGGTGATGGACAGGGGAGGCCTCACGTGTTGCAGTCCATGGGGTCACAAATAGTTTAACATGATTTACTGAGCTGAACTGAATGTTTAGTTAAGCATTCTTGTGCTTTTCAATTCAAGATACTGCTCCTAAAAGTCAACGTTATTTTCATGATAAATATAAAGAGGAAGAGTTATGTTTTTGAAATTTCACTTATTAATAAAATATTATAGTATGGAAGATAAGATTTGTGCTTGGAATTAGCTCCCAAATGATTTATGTGGCATGTCCATGTGCTAGTATTGGCCAGAGTTAGAATAAAATTAATCCCTTCCATCCATAATCATACAAGTATAGGAGAAATTTCTACTGAATGTTTACCTTCATCACCACGAGGTTGCTGGGGAAACATGTAGTTAGTCAATACTCTTTGCTTTGTTTCTGGATGGGCTTCAGTTTGTAAAGGGATAAGGGCTTTGGACTGGAAGCAAAGGATATAAATTAGATTAATAATATTAGAAATATGAAGAATATTTCTTTTATATAAGATAAAGGTCAACAGTCTGGCCTCAGTGTGTTGAATGAACAATTAAAGAAAAGTAATGAAAAAATAACAAAAAAATAAAATATAAGATAAAATAAGACTACTGTAGAGGAATATTTTGAAATGATAAGGGTTTCATAGTGAGATTTTCTTTTTATTATATTCTTTTTCAAAACCTATTCATCTTACAATGCCTGTTTTTACCTTGAAGAGACCAAAATGTGCTAAACTGTTTCAACTAAGTAAACTTTTGGTATAGTTCTATAACTTCATGAACTGTTGTCTTAAAAAGGCAAATGGAATTTGCTATTAAGTTCATACTACACAAGATCATCTATGAATTCAATTAAGTTAAAACATAAGCATTTACTTTTAAGAGATTTTTGTAACCAAAGACAGTCTACATATACATAAGCAACTGTCCTTGTATCTGATATATCACAAAGAATTTACCTATGGATAATAATATTTAATTCTCTATATTAATTCTTTTCAGAAATATAATTTTTGAAGGTTTTTAGAACTTTGATTTTAAATACAATATATAAACATTGAGAATAATCATATTGTTTAATAGTTTATGCTTATTTCATGACATTTATTAATAAGAGTGAAGGACAATGGCAATTTGGAATGCCAACTTGACTCATGAAACTGAGTCAGAAACACATGAAATCACTGTTCTAAATAAAAGTTAAACGATGCAGTCACTGTTCTGTTCATTCTTCCACAAGAATAATAAATCCTGATATGGGATTTTTTTTTAACAGTGTAAGACTGTAGAAAAGACTGTTCCATTAGCATAGCTTGTATTGATTCCAGAAATGATTTATTTTATAATGGTATATTGATGATTTGAAAAATCTACAGTTCATTGATAACTTGAATTTAAATGACAATCTAACTCTTTACTTAGTAGATGGGAAGAAAGTGCTGTAATGACTGTAGGGACATAAACATTATTCTCACACTTAACATTTTTTTTTTTATTCTCACACTTACATTTAACATTTTGCAGAGGTTTAATTTTTTACAAAAATTGCCCAATACTTATGTCTGAACAATTCATTTACCAGTAATACTGCTTTTATGCTCAGAAAAAAATCATAACAAACTAAATCCAAGATGATTTGCTTTCATTTGGTAATTTATATTGGGGTAGGATATTTTAAAATTTTAAGATTACAAGGAAAAAGCCAAAAGAAAACAAAGTATGTCAAAATGGTCTATTGCTAGTTTTTGTGGTGGCAAATCAGATGCCTTCAATTGTTTTTATTTTGCAGTTAATAAAAGTATTCATTAATACTCAATTACTGATTCAATTATAATCTAATTTCATAAGTGTAAGGATTAATATCATAGCAATTTCACAGAAAATATTGATAAGAGCAACAAATGGTATCACAATATTTTTTAATACATTTTTAGAATTAAGTTGATTATAATTAAAAGCATGGAAAAAAGGGAACATGGAGGATAGTAACTCCCTCTTATGGGGATTGTAGTAATGATTTCTTATTCTTTACCTTCAGAGGTATAATTAAAGTACATCCTCTAAGGACATACATGTATCACCTAGAAAAATGATCATTTTGTGTATTAGATTTCTGAGGAAGAAGTAGATACTAAATTGAAGTATTTTAAAGGGATGAGAATTATAGTACTGTATGTCCATAGCAATGGAATACTTAATTGAGTTGCTACCCTTATAAAAATCTCTCTTCCAGGGGATAAAGAATCTATATTTTGTAGTAATTGTCAAAGGTATCTGTTGAGAATTAATTAGTAATTAACCATTTCAATTATAGTTCATTTTAATAAACAAAATTAATTAGGTAATAAAAAATTTTACCTGATTGTCAGAAAGCCACAAAGCTGCAAGCTCCTTCAGCTTGGTAAATGAGAATGGTAAATTCTTCAATCTGCAAAAAACAAGAAATTTCTAGTAGCACGGGTGAATATGGATAAAGATTATTTAATGAAGAGTTATTTAAAATACTATAACTTATTTATTTCATTCTTCTCTTCACTTCTTTCTCCACAGAGTAGCCTGAGTAATCATTTAAAAGTGAAAATCTTGAGTCTACAACTCTTCAAATGATAGGGTAAAACCCCAAATTGTTACCATGCCTCGTCAGACCCTCTGAGATCTGGTCCCCTCAAACCTCTCCACAGCTTCTTTGCTATTCTTTTCTTGACAGTCCTGTCAATGCCACTGGCCTCCAATCAGCCTACTCCCAGGAATAGCCCAGCTCCTTTCTCTGTCTGGAACACTCTTTCTTCCATACTTCACTTAACTAAAATTCCACAGATTCTCTTTCAGCTGAAATGCCAGTTTCTGCAAGAAGCTTTTCTTGACTCCTCAAATTTCTTTCCCCAATCTATCCTCAAAGCACTTTTACTTCAATGACATTTCTCAGTTTGAAATTATCTACAATATTTATTTTGTAGTAATTTTTTATGTTACTCTTTAATATCTCTTTAAAACTGTAGACTCTATGAGGGCAAGAGCCATTTCCATCTTATTACTAAATGAATTTACAGCTCTGAATTTTATATTGGTTCCTGAAAGTGTGTCCTTTTGTTCTTCCACCCTGTATACATTGTGTAATAGATATTCAAAGAGGCAATCTTTAAAAATAGCATTTTGAGGTATGTGAAATTGTATTCAATCAAAATTATCTACTAAGCTTTGGCTTCAGCCTGTGGAGGGTCAAATCAGCAATTGCCTACTTCATCATAAATATGATATAGCAGGATTGTGCATGATCAATATATTGTTATTACATGAATTGCCATCATAGCTGGTCAGCACAGTGAATAATACAAACAAGGCACACCAGTGAGTTTATTGTTACTTTCTGCGTGTTCACTTTTGAATACAGACAAACATTTTAGATATGACTTGGAATGAAAATTTCTGTTAAATCTTTAATATGTTGGAATTCTATCAACCAAATGATGAATAAATATATTTTGATAACGGAGATGGAAAATGTCACAATAATGAATAAGAATTTTGAAAGCAGTTAATTGTATCTCCAAAGGCACTATTAAATAATTTAACAAATATGAAAAGATATTGACAAGCCTATAAACACATCAACAGAGTGTGCATTGGCTAGGAAACTTTAGCAAGGATATAATGACCTTGCTGAGCTAATTGGTACTTGTAAAACATAAGAATATAAAGAATAAGAGATCAAATTATATCACAGTTATTTTTAATAGAATTATTATACTAGCATTTATAATATTAATCCAAACTGCCCATAAAAACTATTTCTAATTTTAGTTATTTAGTTTAAGTTGGAAATTATAAAGTAAGATGCTATGAGAAGTATTTACATCATGTGGAGATGAATTAAAAGTAAAATATCAATTCTGCCACAAAAAAATTACATGAGGGGATAACTCTCCAGAATCATTTACAAAATCCATGATAAATCATCAGGCAAATCATAAAAGTAGAATATGGAAAGAAACTGTCAGAGAAGATGTTACCCATCCTTTTTTTTCCCTCTTCCTGTGACCACCATTGAAAGTGAGGCTTTTTTTTTTTTTTTTTTTACCAATAATAAATGGATTAATGTTTACTGAGCACTTACTATTTATCAGGCAGAGGGATAAACATTTTACTTATATATTTATCTTTCATGAGAAGGTGGTAATATTATTTTCTCCAGTTTACATACTGAAGCTAAATAATATAAAATGGTCATAAACATGATAATCACTAGAGTCAGAATTTGAATCATGTCAGCTGAACTCCAGAGTTCATTTTCATAATCTCTAAACTCTGAAACTTTTCTCTAGTATTTCTTCATTTCTGTTGTTGTTGTTGTTCAGTTACTAAGTCGTGTCCGACTCTGTGACCCCATGGACTACAGCATGCAAGGCCTCCCTGTCCTTCACTACCTCCTGGAGTTTGCCCAAGTTCATGTCCATTGACTTGGTGATGCCATCCAACCATCTCATCCTCTGTTGCCCCCTTCCCCTTTTCCATTCAATTTTTCTCATCATCAAGGTCTTTTCAAATGAGTCAGCTGTTTCTATATAATCTGAATATAGCAGCTTTGGAGATATAATTTCTTTTTTTAAAATTTTTTTTCTATTTTTTTTATTAGTTGGAGGCTAATTACTTTATAATATTGTAGTGGTTTTTGCCATACATTGACATGAATCAACCATGGATTTACATGTGTTCCCCATAGTGATCGCCCCTTCCACCTCCCTCCCCATCCCATCCCTCTGGGTCTTCCCAATGCACCATGGAGATATAATTTCTTTTTTTTTTTTTTTTTCTTTGCATAACCTATGCTTCTTTTTTTTTTTTCCCATTTATTTTTATTAGTTGGAGGCTAATTACTTTACAGCATTGCAGTGGTTTTTGTCATACATTGAATTAGCCATGGATTTACATGTATTCCCCATCCCGGTCCCCCCTCCCACCTCCCTCTCCACCCCATCCCTCTGGGTCTTCCCAGTGCACCAGGCCTGAGCACTTGTCTCATGCATCCAACCTGGGCTGGTGATCTGTTTCACCCTAGATATACATGTTTCGATGCTGTTCTCTTGAAACATCCCACCCCCGCGTTCTCCCATAGAGTCCACAAGTCTGTTCTATACATGAAAGTGAGGCTTTATTTAGTATTATAACTGTCCAGTAAATTGATCACCGGAGCAATCCTATAGTTGATAGTATAAATGAATCATTGTTCCTTAACTGTAATGACAAACTTCTAAAATTTATTGTATTGATAATATAAAATTGGAATAATCATGACTTTTAAATAACATGTAATATTTAATCTTTTATTCAAGCAGTTTATTCTCTGATAGTGATATTCAACTTTTGCCTCAGCTTTGACTGAATATTGACTTTAATCTTGGGTTAAGATTCATTTATTTCACAACATTGTAAAGCAACTATACTTTCCAAAATTAAAAAAAAATTCACTGATTAATTCATCAACTTAAAAATATTAGTTTGGGTCTATATTATGTTCCAATAACTGTATTAGGAGATAGATTAGCTTATATTTCTGACCTGGTGAAGTACTTAAATTCCTAGTATTATGAGATTCTCAATGTCTTAGAAATATCTTTTGCAGTAGCTTTTAGCAATTTTCTGTCCCATGGTAAGCACTCATATATGCTATATTTGTTGGATAAATAATTGCATTAGTAGTCCTAACTATGGGTCACTTAAATATTTTATAAGCATATTTTCCATATTGTGTGAATTATTAATGTATAAAATTTGAATGGGCCAAGAAGCCAGGAAAAACTTCCAGCTCATAATGAAAACTCTTCCTCCAGTTTGACAATAATGGAACTTGGTTCCATTGGGGACTGTAATTGAATCCATTGGAACCCATCTTCCTATGATATCTCTATGACTGTATATATAATATTGTCCACAAGAATATAATTAGAAAATTCTAAAAAATGTCTTACTGAAAGTTGGGCACAATATTTAATGCACCTCCTTCATTTTTCTGTCAAAGAGTCAAAACAAGAAATGGGTTGATTTGAAATGAATTACTCTTGTTGCAGTAAGCTATGAAGCTTCTTGGTCACCTTGATTTTAAAAATAAAATTCCAAAGCTTTTAAAAAATGTTTAATTCTTTACATGAAAATATTATTGAGCTGCTGTTGCTAAGTCGCTTCAGTCGTGTCTGACTCTGTGCAACCCCATAGATGGCAGCCCACCTGGCTTCTCTGTCCCTGCCATTCTCCAGGCAAGAATACTGGAGTGGGTTGCCATTTCCTTCTCCAATGCATGCATGCATGCTAAAAAGTTGCTTCAGTCATGTCCGACTCTGTGCGACCCCATGGACAGCAGCCCACCAGGCTCCTCTGTCCACGGGATTCTCTAGGCAAGAATACTGGAATGGGTTGCCATTTCCTTTTCCAATTATTGAGCTACTAAATGCATTATTAGTTTTTTTTTCCTCAGACAGACTAACAAATAACTCCCACACTCACTGAAACTTCAGCATCTAAACATTCTCCATGATTCCTTAGATAGTTTTGTTGCAGTCTCAGCCTCTCATATTATCATTTGTCTTACTGAAACTTAATGGAAACAGAGTTCAAGTAGTCTGTTCTATTCCATAACCACTTTATCTTTTTAGCAGTTATTTTTAGTCAATATTGATTTTTGTCCTTTCCTATTTGAGAACATTTGTGGTGGAGATAAAGATGAATTGCATTTTCACCTTTTTTCCTGCCGTTCAGCATTGTAACACTTTAGTCACAAGAAGAGAACCTATTCTTTCTTTGTCCATTCTGTTCTGAACATGGCTAAATAACCATTTGGTTGTCCTTACTATAATGCACAAACCTTATGACTTTTTAGTATTAGGTTCTTGGCATTATTCTTACCAGTGTTTTGGTGGTGTGGACAGTATACATATAGCTCAGTTAATTTACTGGTGACATAAATGTATATATGAAAACTTATATGTGCATACATATATACATATGCACATATTTTTATTATCAAATTTTATAGATTTTTATTATAATTATTTTCCATGTCTTCATAATATTATGCCTTCTGCATATGGGAGGGTTTTGACATATAATTTTTGAAGTATCAGTTTAAAATTAATTTAGCTTCTGCTATTTTCTAAATGAATATTTGCATATTTATATAAATGTTTGCATCCCATATATTTCATAAGACATAGAAAAATTTTCAAAATTATTGATAAAAAGGAATAATTTGCTTTTAAAAAATAATGTGATTGTGAAATGTTTGAAAAATACCTGTTGTCACTCAGATTTAAGACTCTTAGTTTCTGCATCTGTCCAATCTCTTCAGGAAGAAATTCCAGTTTATTGGAGCGTAGAGACATGACCGTTACATTCTTACAGCTTCCAATCTATAGGTAATAAAAAAAGTAAAGGATCACAGTGTAAACTATTCTATATTAATATTTATAATTTATAAAGTGATTTGATTGATTTATAGATTTTTTTATCACTTCCAAGACTCAATATGTGCATTGTTTAATTTTTTATAATATGTGTATCTTTAAAATATGTTTATGTATATATTCCTTTAGATATTAAGGTAATGTATATCTCACATTCTTATACATATTACAAAGGAATAATTTTCTTTTAAATTTTATGATTAGAATACTTGTCAGCTTCATTGTCTATCCAAATAAGCATTAATAATAATTGTTTATAAAAGATCATATATACTAAAAAATGAAGTCTTATTAACATTTCCTTTGCAAAAATACTAGTTTAACTTCACATTACAATAGTACTTTCATTTTTATTTATAACTTTTGCCTCTAAGACAATGATATATGGATTATTGCTCCTGATTATGAAAGCATTTAATAGGAAATGTGAAATTTAAAATATACATCACAGTTTTTTCTTGACATGAATAAATGAAAGTCCCATTTGGAGATGAATGCTAATGAACCCTTCTGGTGGATCCTGAAGTTAAAACAATATTATGCAACATGATACTTTAAAAAATGTATTTACATGAAAACTTTCACTTAGAAATTGAAATATAATTATCTCTAAATTTATGTCATAACTTCTTAAAAGCAAAATATATAAATTGTTTGCATGAATTTATTTTATTACTATTTTTGGCAATCAATATTTAAGTCAAATGCATTTCCTTGATCAAATATAAGAACTTACCCCTTGTTATTTTAAAAAGAATGATTAACAAATATATAACTCCTATATGCATTCACAGCTTAACTCATGAAGCTACACTGCTAATGCACCTGTTAAAATTTATATCCAAAACAGAGTCATTAAAAATTAATTAATAGAAATAAGTTTATTCCTCACTTCTCTGGGCAATTCTGGAAGGAAGTTCTCGTCGACTGCTAATGTTCGAAGACTGTGAAGGTAGCCAATAGTAGAAGGTAGAGACTCCAGTTCATTACAGCTACAGTCAAATTCTTCTAATAAAGATAAACTGAAAAGTTAAATACATTAGTTAGACATTCTAAAAGGTCAGATGGCAAAAAAATTTTGAAAAGCCCACATATTCAAATTCACCAACAAAAGTTATTTATGTAGCAATTGCTTAATATTATGTAAGTTGATTTATCAGTTCAGCCAAATGGTTCACTTGGCTGAACTTTATTAATATCACTTAATAAGTGGTTCAATTTGGTAAAATAAATATAGTTCATTTTTCTCCTTTCTTAATTCACTTGTCATTTGAGCCTGAGAATGACAAAAAGTTTTGTCTGCTTTTGTACAACTTAGGTGTTTCTTATAGTCAGATGCTCATAATGTATATCCTTAGAATGAATGCATGTAAGTACATGGGCAGGTAAAAAGGTATAGATGGCAGGTACAAGAATGAGAAGATAAGGAGGGCAAAATATTAACAACAAAACCACTGATTAAGTGCAAAGTATTTTACTAAGCATTTTAGAGATAAAAGTAACTATTTTCCTTAAAGAAACTCTATCAGATATCTATTGTTTTAGACCTCTCTTACATATAAGGAAATAGAGGCGTAAAGAGGCTAAGCAGCCAACCCAAAGACACACAAAAGCAGGAAAGCTAGTACCTAAATGCAAACAGTGTGTCTCCACTGTATCTTCTTGCTTCTCCGCCTGTGCCTTTCAGTAGTAGATGCTACAGACAGGTCACATTTCAGCCCCCAGATGTATTTATTGTTTTACAAAGTATTTTAAAAAGTGGTAAACTCTATATAATGACCCAGACTTTTGGTGTCTTTTGAAAAATAAGGATGATCTGCCAGTACGGGATCTTTATTCTCCCATGACAAGTAAAGAAACCAGTGTAATAGCAGCTGCCTTCAAATAAGCACAGTTCTCCAATTTGCCAAGATCCCCACCACTCCAAATTTAGCCCACTTTACCCCAAATCTACACAAAGGAATCCTATGAATACACATTCAAGCTATCACAAGGGAACTTGACAGTTCACTGCTTGGTTTGAGACAGTTGAGAAAGAAAGAGGGCCTGGCACAGAGTAAGCACTAGCTGTATTTAAGTTTCCTTTGCTGGTAACATTATTACACTGTTACTACTATTCATATCATTGCTTTGCTGTAATAGGAAGGAACCCTCAAGGGTAATGATCTCACAACTGTAAAGGGAAGAATGAATTAGAAGTAGTTGGAGGAAGGTTGTAGAATCCTCTTCCTTTTTCTTTATCTTGGAACTAGCCGGCTTGAAGGTAATTTATTCCCATCATTTAGTTAACGAGTGGACACAGAAATTAAGCATTTGAGTTTTATGTTAGAATGGATTTGTGTCCCAGCTCTCTCACTTATTAGATGTATGATCTTGGATATCAAAAAATAAAACAAGGATCAGAGCTCAAAAATCAAGCTGATTTTATTTACTGCCAGGCAAGGGAACATTCCTTGCTTAGACTCAGAAGAAATTCACTCAGTAGTGCACTGGGGGGCGGGGAAAGTCGGTGCTAAAACGGGGTGGCAACAGGGCATCATATGATCATGCTCATTAAAGATGAAAAATTTGCATTACAGAGAGGGTGGAACAAGTTCACGTGTCTGTGTACAATTGGGAAAATCAAGTCCTATTATTCATGGGAAGGGAACAATCTAATTCAGTCAAGTCCAGCCTGACCCTGATCAGGGTAACTCATGATTCATGGTTCTTAACAGCTTCAACTGGTTAGAACTCAGAAATGGGGAAGCACAACATTCAGTTGTGAATAATAGCTTTGGTGTGCATGCTCAGTCCTGTCCAACTCTGTGTGACCTCATGGACTGTAGACGCCAGGCTCCTCTATCCATGGGATTCTCCAGGCAAGAATCCTGGAATGGATTGCCATTTCCTCCTTCAAAGGATCTTCCCAACCCGATACAGGGATCAAACATGGTCCTCCTGTGTCTCCCGCATTGGCAGTTGCTTTATTTACCACTGAGCCAACTGGTAAGTGAAAAATAGCTCTAGAGTACAGTTCAGTTCAGTTGCTCAGTCTTGTCTGACTCTTTGAGACCCCATGACGGTAGCAGGCCAGGTTTCCCTGTCTGTCACCAAATCTTGGAGCTTGCTCAAACTCATGTCCATTGAGTCAGTGATGCCATCCAACCATCTCATCCTCTTTTGTCCCCTTCTCCTCCTTCCTTCAATCTTTTAGTATTTCCTAATGAGTCAGTTCTTTGCATCAGGTGGCCAAAGTATGGGAGCTTCAGCTTCAGCATCAGTCCTTCTAATGAATATTCAGGACTGATTTCCTTTAGGATGGACTGGTTGGATCTCCTTGCAGTCCAAGGGACTCTCAAGAGTCTTCTCCAACACCACAGTTCAAAAGCATCAATTCTTTAGTGCTCAGCTTTCTTCATAGTCCAACTCTCACATCCATACATGACCACTGGAAAAACCATAGCTTTGGCTATATGGACCTTTGTCAGCAAAGTAACATCTCTGTTTTATAATATGCTGTCTAGTTTGGTCATAGCTTTTCTTCCAAGGAGCACGTGTCTTTTAATTTCATGGCTGCAGTTACCATCTGCAGTGATTTTGGAGCCCAAGAAAACAAAGCACATCACTGTTTCTGTTGTTTCCCCATTTTTTGCCACAAAGTGATGGTACCGGATGCCATATTCTTAGTTTTTTGAATGTTGGGTTTTAAACCACCTTTTTCACTCTCCTGTTTCACTGTCATCAAAAGGCTCTTCTGTTCCTCTTTGCTTTCTGCCATAAGGGGTGGTGTCACCTGCACATCTGATGTTATTGATATTTCTCCTGGCAAACTTGATTCCAGCTTGTGTTTCATCAAGTCCAGCATTTTGCATGATGTACTCTGCATACAAGTTAAACAATCAGGGTGACAGCCTTGAAGTACTCCTTTTCCAATTTGGAACCAGTCCACTGTTCCATGTCCAGTTCTAACTGTTGCTTCTTGACAGATTGCTCAGGAGGCAGGTAAGGTGGTCTGGTATTTCAATCTCTTGAAGAATTTCCCACAGTTTGTTTATTGTGATCCACACAGTCAAAGGCTTTAGCATAGTCAATGAAGCAGAAGTAGATGTTTTTCTGGAATTCTCTTGCTTTTTGTAGGATCAAACAGATGTTGGTGATTTAATCTCTAGTTCGTCTGCCTTTACTAAATCCAGCTTGAACATTTGGAAGTTCTCAGTTCACATACTGTTGAAGCCTAGCTTGGAGAATTGTGAGCATTAAGTCCATGAATCAAAGTAAATTGGAAGTGGTGAAACAGGAGATGGCAAGAGTGAACGTCTACATTTTAGGAATCAATGAACTAAAATGGACCAGAATGGATGAATTTAATTCAGATGACCATTATATCTACTACTGTAGGCAAGAATTCATTAGAGGAAACTATCCCTCATAGTCAACAGGTCTGTAATGCAGTACTTGGGTGCAATCTCAAATACAACAGAATGATCTCTGTTTGTTTCCAAGGCAAATCATTTCATATCACAGGCATCCAAGTCTAGCCCCAACCACTAATGCTGAAGAAGCTGAAGTGGAATGGTTCTATGATGACCTACAAGGCCTTATAGAACTAACACCAAAACAGATGTCCTTTTCATCATAGGGGACTGGAATGCAAAAGTAGGAAGTCAAGAGATACCTGGAGTAATAGGCAAGTTTGGCCTTGGAGTACAAAATGAAGCAGGGCAAATGCTAACAGAGTTTTGCCAAGAGAATGCACTGGTCATAGCAAACAGCCTCTTCCAACAACATAAGAGATGACTCTATACATGGACATCACCAGATGGTCAATACCAATACTAGATTGATTATATTCTTTGCAGCCAAAGATGGAGAAGTTTTATACAGTAGGCAAAAATAAGACTGGGAGCTGTGGTTCAGATCATGAATTCCTTATTGCAAAATTCAGACTTACTGAGGAAAGTAGGGAAAACCACTTTAGATCATTCAGGCATGACCTAAATCAAATCAAATCCCTTATGATTATACAGTGGAAGTGACAAATAGGTTCAAGGGATTAGATCTGATAGAGTGCGTAAAGGTCTATGGATGGACGTTCATAACATAGTACAGGATGTAGTGATCAGAACCATCCCCAAAAAATGCGAAAAGACAAAATGGTTGTCTGAGGAGGCCTTTCAAACAGCTGAGAAAAGAGAAGTGAAAGACAAAGGAGAAGAGAAAAGATATATCCATCTGAATACAGAGTTCCAAGGAACAGCAAGTAAAGATAAGAAAACCTTCCTCAGTGATCAATGCAAAGAAACAGAGGAAAACAATAGAATGGGAAAGACTAGAGATCTCTTCAAGAAAATTAGAGATACCAAGGGAAGATTTCATGCAAAGGTGGGCACAATAAAGGACACAAATGGTATGGACCTAACAGAGGCAAAAAATATTAAGAAGAGGTGGCAAGAATACACAGACGAATAATACAAAAAAGCTCTTAATGATCCAGATAACCAAGATGGTGTGATCATTCATCTAGAGCCAGACATCCTGGAGTGCTAAGTCAAGTGGGTATTAGGAAGCTACAAACAAAGCTTGTGGAGGTGATGAAATTCCAGCTGAGTCAAATCCTAAAAGATAATGTCATTCAAGTGCTGCGTTCAGTTCAGTCACTCAGCTGTGTCTGACTCTTTGAGACCCCATGGACTGCAGCACACCAGGCTTCCCTGTCCATCACCAACTCCTGGAGTTTGCTCAAACTCATGTCTATTGAGTCAGTGATGCCATCCAACCATCTCATCTTCTGTCGTCTTCTTCTCCTCCTACCTTCAATCTTTCCCAGCATCAGGGTCTTTTCCAATAAGTCAGTTCTTCGAATCAGGTGACCAAATTATGGGAGCTTCAGCTTCAGCATCAGTCCTTCCAATGAATATTCAGGACTGATTTCCTTTAGGATGGACTGGTTGGATCTCCTTGAAGTCCAAGAGACTCTTAAGAGTCTTCTCCAGCACCACAGTGCAAAAGCATCAATTGTTCAGCACTCAGCTTTTTTTAT